CCCCAAAACCCCAAAACCCCAAAACCCCGTAAGTAAAATATAGTCGAAATCGAGATAAAATCGAGAAAATATAATAAAGTCTTGAAAATAATGACTGAAGATTATAGTGAGTATAGGAATCACAATGTAAAGAAGAGTAGACACAAACGCGGTTTGACGATGAGTAACACTGGTCACTCAACATTATCAACTGCATCAAGCATTCCCTCTAAGTATCAGAGAATAATCATTAGAAACAACTCAAAAGAATAGAACTTAAGTTCACCCTAGAAATTAAGTCATTAAAGATCATCTAGCGTTCAATTATCAGCATTCAAACCAAATAACGGCCCAAATCCAAATGACACATCCCAAACCTTTTTAAGTCCCCATGAGATTTCTAAAAGGTTGCACAATACTTCGACACATTCAAATTAATATGACCTTAACTAGTCATTTCAAAGTCACAGCACAGGATTTGGAGCAAGTGCGATTAGATTTGACAACAACTACGAACTCTAATTGATGTTCAACAAATCTCCAGGACCAGGAACTTATAATCTGAGAAAAATGGTTGAGGATTAAGTATCACAAGTTAAACTAGAGCTAATAAACAGCAGTCCCAGGATTACTGAAAATCAGCATAGCTTAAACTCAACAAGCCAAATGAACCCATTCTAAAATCAATCTGTGTAATACTTGATTAATAGCTCTAAAAGCAAAATTTATACCAATAAAAGATTGAGAAACGACTAGTCCTAATTTGAAGGGCCAGGATTCCCTAAGGCACTAAGGTTTTAAGAGAGAATAGAATAGTCGCCTGGACCTTAGCAATACGATCCAACTAAGCCTTAAGAAAAACACAAATCTTTAGTAAAGATGTAAAATGAAGGAAAGATTTCGATTCCATCTCACATTCTTAATAACCCGTTGAATTATGTCAAGCCCCTTATTGTCAATCTATATTACAAAAAATAGAACCCTGATGTAGGTGCATATGATGTAACACATCCAGAAGAAATAGCGAAAAAACTAAATGATAATGTTAAGTTTTCTTACAAATCTGTATTCGAATCAAAATAGGAGAGGAAAGCAGATTTTCTCATTAATGGTGATTAGACACTCCTGTTTGATGAAAACAAGAAAGATTTCTACGAAGTAGAGGAGAACTTAAAGGCTTTAAATAAAGATAAACTTTTGATGCCCACGCCAGCTTTTTAGTAGCCGCTTAAGCCTTATATAAAATAAGACTTTCCTTAAACTTTACAATAGCTACTAAATAAAGATAAAGAATAGGATGCATCTTAGGAATTACCATAGCCTCATTACTATGGTTCTCTTGATGATAAGTTAGCAAGAGCCTAGTATAGAGAGGCATTGACTAATGACAAAATTCTAAGTAAAGATAGATTCGGAAACTAGGTCCTACCTAAAAAACCTATTGAAGAATTGCCAGGTCCAGGGTATTACAATGATAATATAAACTATGAATTGGTAAAACCTCATTATGGTAAAAGTCCTGTTATTCAACCAGAACACAAGATGAAAAGTAAAGTAGTGAAGGAAGAGATAAGGCCAAGTCCAGCATAATATAATCAAGAAATTGAGCCGAAATAGGTATCATTTCATTTCTGGGGTAACCAAGGAGAGATACAGCCTTGGATTCACTGAAATAAGTATATAAGTCTAATATTATTATTATTCTTAATTTAATAACTTTAATCATAAACTAATTTAAAGAAAAAACAAACAGGAAATTATAAATGTCCTAAAAAAATATGAACTCAATTCTAGATTCAACTAATTGCAATTAATACATTAGAAAGCGTGGGAGAAAAAGACTAGCTGATCAATAGTGGAGAATCTGTGATGAGAAGGAGACTGAGGAGATGCGAAAAAGAAATAACTAAACATTAGAGTAAGATTAAACTGATCTTAAATGCTGTAGAGATATGTTGAAGTCAAAAAAGACATCAATAAAAAATGCTGAATAAGAGCAGTACTCATAGTAGTATTACTAGGCATATGCGAGTCACCAATAGCAAGCATAAGTTGAAGTACCGGTCATTTACACTAAAGAAAGAATAGAAAATGCTATTAGGAAGTATGAGTCAATGTATCGGGAATATGAATAATGCGGCATTACTCTCAGAGTAAAACACTATCTAAAAATGCTACCAGAAGTTTCCTAAAAAATTAAATGTAAACTAATCTATTCTTTATTTATATTCTATTAGTATATGAACTTGATGACGAGCACACCTTAAAAATAGTAGGAGAGATTTCTCAGATGCTTATGATGGATGAATTTGAGATCATTAACTGGATCAAATTCATTGACAGGTAAGCCATTTTTATTAAAATTCATTTCTGACAATCATGTAGGTTTGATTTTAAAAGAGAAACATTCGCAATGGATTTATTTTTTATTGCCCTTGCAACTAAGCTCTTGCTGAACAACTAGAAATAAAAAGAGCCTTTTGAAATTTACTTAAGTAAAACGAATCAATAGTTCTTCTATTTTAACCATTGGATTGCTGTCAATAACAGTAGGTTCTATTAGGATATACGCGATTCTTTAATAACCCATAGGATTTTTAAGAAACTTAATAAAACCCTAATGCCAAAGTTCTTCGAGCTAAAAGATGATACCCCAACAGAAATTGAGATAGAACCTGATTTCAATATGCTGGTTGAAGAGATCATTAATCAGGAAGAGGAAAGTAAAAAATAGCCTGAAATAAATGATGAAGAAATGAAATTAGCAAATGACATAAAGAAGTTTGATCTTTTTAATGGGAGCAAGAATGATAGAAATAAATTAGATACTAAGGCAATCAATAGCCTGAAGGAAGCTTTGGACTAGCTAGAGAGAAACTAAGCATAAAATCATATTAGTCATAATTTATAAGGAACTCACTCTAATAATCATAATAGCAATGGTGCTCATGCCACTCATATGAATTAAAATTTGGGAAGATTGATTTCATAAAGCCCTTTAATGGCAATTTTACATGACTAGCTCAGTATTGTTCAAACACCTGCAAATGGGATAGACTTTTTGATGAAGGACTCTATGATTTTTCCATAAAATGATCTATTTGGATTCAGTAAGGGAAATCATAAATTGAAAAGCAAGCATTAAGAAGGGAAAAATCATACACATAACACTCATTAGGACAATAATAATAGGCCCTTTCAGTAACCAATTACAAGATAACCTTCAAAGAAGGATCAAAATAATAATGTCCATCAAAGAAGCTAAATTAATAATCCTGGCACTGGCTTTCAGATAAATCAAGGGCTTTATTAAGCAGCAAATAATCTAAATGACTCTTTAATACATTTTGGCAATCAAGAACTTCAAGATTTCTTTGAAAATGAGGATGAAATAGAAGACTTTGAGAAAAATTTGCTCAATTGATGATTTAATAATTATAGAACTGATGTAATTGTAATTCTCTAGATATATTAATTAATTCACAAATTTTTTATACTATTTTAATATTTTTAATGGAGGGAATTTAATCTAAAAAGCTAGAAATACCAAGCGATTATTCATCTGAGGAAGACAGCTATTCAAGTGAAAGTGATTAAGATAGAGTAGAATTTATAAGAAGAGCTAAGAAGATTCTAGAAAATGCTATTAAAGTGGAAGAAAAGTAAGAATAAATTGGATTTGTAGCGGAGGATTCTGTTATCAACTAAAATTTTGACATTAATGATTAGCGATTTTTATACTAAGGCTAGAACTTTGATAGTTTACCTGAGGCTTTGAATGGAATCGAAAATTTTGGTAGCATTATAAAGTAAAACTTCTAAGTCATTTTGCAGTCATTAAATCAAGTTGACAGAGAAAAATTATTCTAGCTATTACCAGGTCAAGCTAGAGACAAAGAGAGACTTTTGACATAAATTCTGAGAGGAGATAGAGTTAGTAACCTAGGATAGAGTCCATTAGATCAATTTTAGCTAAAACTTTAAAATGGTGTATTCACTAAATCTTTCTAGTAATATTAAGAATACAGAAACCAGTTAACTCTAATTAAGAAAAGAGATAAGATACTTGAGGATCTGAGAAACATCGATATCCTACAAAAAAAGGAAAGATTTGCTGAGGAGAATTAACTTCATGAATTCTTGAATCAGCTAATTTAGCCTCTTTAAAATGTAGCAAGAGTTGATGTCATGAGTGATGATTCAGAAGAAGAGGATGAGTACACAGAGGAGGAGAAAGAAATTTACAACTAGATCCACGCAGAATTTGAAGAACTAACAAGTGGATACACTACTATTTCATCTAATAGAGGGGATTACTCAAACTACAGAAGGCCCATTAATAATTTGATTTAGCAATAAGCCGCATCAATGAGTTTGAATAGATTGACCACTCTCAGTCAAATGTAAGGAGTCTCAATGGCAAACAACATAGAGCTATAGAAATAATAAAACGCTCAGAATAGCAATGAGTAGTCATTCAGTAACAAAGCTGACTAGAACAACAAAAAATCATCTATTATAAGTCTTAATCCAAAAGGTGGTGTTGATAGTGCAACTAAAAAGAAGGGAAGCTTTTAGGCCACAAATAGAGAATTTGGTGATTCAAAACTGTTAGAGCAAATTATGAACTCGGAGAGATTCAAAAATTTGAAAGTCCACAAGAATCAAGTAACACTTCCTAAGACATCTGCTGAATGGATAGAAATATACAGAAGACAAGAAACTGAAAGGTATGAACATCCAACTAGACCATGGATTTATTACAATGAAGATGGGACAACTTCAATAGTTGGTCCAATCATAAAGAAAAAGACCCAATAAACCAATTAAAAGCCAAGAGATCATCCTTAAATGCACTAAAATCGACCTGCCATTGTTACATTACTTTGTTTAGCAAGAGATGCAGCGAGTAGATTGCCAGATGGAGTTGGGACTAGAGCAGACATTCTAGAATTAATAAAACAAAGTTAATGGCTGAAATCAGAGGGGACAGATCCAGCTGGTTTAAATAATATAGTTAGTGGAGCACTAGATAGACTTCATTATGAGGATGATGCTTGTGTTAAGTATGATTCGGACAGAAAACTCTGGATATATTTGCACAAAAATAGGACGATTGACTATTCTGAATGGCAAACTTCAGGCTCAAATGAGAGACCAAACACAATGGACAATAATAGTTTCAATCCATATCTTGGGACTGAGAAAGAATTGATTTGGAAAAATTCACCTCACAGAGAAAGAAAGAATTATGGTGTCAAATATGAACATGATAATGATAACTCTGAAAGTATTAGTTCTACAAACAATAACATCAATATAAACATGGGCAGCAGTTTGAATAGTATTCAACCTAGTCTTACACAACAAAACACAAAACTCATTGTGAAAATAAGATTTGACAAGGAAGAGACAAAGCCTGCACCTAAAAGGACAAAGCATACTAGCGTGGAATATGATGAATTCGGGGAACAAAAGCCTCATAAAAGATAAAAATATTGAGATATTGAAGCTCAGCAAATTTAGAAGAGAATTAATTATTTCAAATAACACTTAACTAATTTACCAAACTAGTTAATTTCTTAAAATAGTCTCATAAGGGGTTTTGGGGTTTTGGGGTTTTGGGG